TTTTAAACACAAGCAATACAGTGGATTAGTTTGGGGGGGGGGGTCAATCTGATGAGATCGTTTGATAGACGCAGTAGTGTACTTTGGTGTGATTTGCCGTCGGTCCCTTTCCCAGGCCAAGCAGCGCGCCGAGGTCCTGCAGTCCACCCACAAGTTCTTTTCAGAGCAGCAGCAGCTTAGCAAGGCGCTCAAGCCGCAGGCTCAGATGCTGGAGGCCGCCCCGCCCCAGATGGCCCAGCTGCCGCCACCCAATTCCAACCCCGACGCCGACAAGCCACCCCAAGTTTCGTTGGCGTCGGCCAAGCCCGTCCGCACCGGACCCATCAAGCCGCAGGCCATCAAGCCAGAGGAGGGCAAGTAAAAACGCGAGAGCTCCAACAGCTGGCCAAACGCCTTTTATCAGCTGCGTGTGTGCGTGTGTGTGTGTTTGGGAAACGGTTCACACGGACGAGTGCTGCTCACCTTTTTTATTGCTTTTTCTTTTGACTTCAGCTCCCTTTCTTTCCTTCTTTTTATGAGGATCAGTTTGACCTGTGTAGTGAATGAAAGTATGTTTTTGTTGTTGTTGTTGTTGTTACTTTTTGTAATGGAAACAATCTTGACGAGGATACACGGTCGAACTAATCCTGACATTCGAGCATCATTTCAAATCACAATTCTCTCATCACTCCCATGTGAAAATCGACCTCTTCATGCACGTGTGTTTGTGTGTGAGACAGGACGCTCCTGTATATTTAGCCAAAGGTTAAAACAGCACAGGGAGATCATTGTAGTAGGATTGCTCAAACACACACATACACACACACACACTGATGAGAAGCATCAGTCCTATTTTCTCCATGTCTGCCTTCTGTCCCAAGCAAAGAAGCCGAGCACGCTCTGGTCTCTCGTCTCTTCTTCACCTTTCTCCATCGGAGGGTCCCTGACACACAAAATGGCCGCCCCTCTGTTTTCCTTTCCAGGCAGAAAAAGAGTTTGGGAAGATGAGTGAGTGGAAGATGGATGAATGAGAGAGCGCGAGCAGGGAGGAGTGTCATGTTTTTTGTTTTTTTTTTCTTTTCATTTTTGTTGTACTTGTACAGGGGTTACATCGCTGTATTAAAATATGTACGGTCTTATTTACATTCTCTTGGTTTGGTTACAGAAACTAATAAAAATACAATGCTGTTCAGAGGATAAGTGTGCAATCAATGTTTTTTGTCCACTCGTTGGCATCAAAAGATTGTTGCTGAAGTATTTCTTTCATTAGAATTATTTTTTGGACATCTTTGAACCAAAAGCAAGCATACAAGCCACTAAAAATATCTTTATGGAGAAAGGGCAACATCAAAAGCTGATTTAAATTTTAAACGCAAGATCTTACTCTGAAATATGAGACAAAAGTTCCATTGATTTTTCTGGGGAAATGTCTCTAATTAAAAAAATAATACGGAAAATGTGTCTCAAAAGTTACGCGGTACTAATTTTTAAAATTATGTTTTTGTTTTTTTGCTTCAAAAGTCCAATTAGAAAATCCAAGAAAGAAAGTGACTTTGAGTTTCAAAACATTTTCTGGAAAGTTATGCTAAAAATGTCAAATTCTGAATTTTAAACCAAAGGTGTCCGGAAAACTGAGCCGCAAAAGTCAAACGGAAAATGAAAATGCATTTGTCCGGGGAAAAAAAAAAAATGTCATTCAAAAGTTTCTTTGATGAAAGCAAACAAATGTTCTCTGGAAAACACCTCAAATGTCAAAACGAATTTAAAAATAATTGTATTGAAAAAGTATTTGTAAAGTCACAAAATTTTCATTTTAAAACTAAACTTTTTTTAGGTGAAAATGCGGGATTAGTTGCTATGTAGCCTATATTTCAATCGGTCGTCTATGAAAACGACAAGTCTTAACTTAGTCACACAATTTAAATTTGAAACCAAGGATTTTGCGACCAAGTCTCAATGCTGCCCTGCTTCTCAGACACTGACGAGCACACATCATTTTAAACACTTTTTATTTCAAAATAAACAATTTATGTTAGCTGACTACAGTGTCCATGCAATATCATGTCAACTATTCACACACTGAACACTTTCGTATTTAAGTGTACACGCACACACAGGTCAATCAATCATTTTGTGCGACAAGTTGCGTGTCAAGGGCACGCCCAAGCAGCAGGTGGCGCCATCAACCCCTCGAAACCCATCGGAAGAAAGGCATTTCCTGGGAAAAGGCACAATAATGACGGCAAAGGCAGCGCCATCGTTCATGTACGGTACGTCATACTCAACGACACTCTTTAGTACAATATTCGGTAAACTTTCCCGTATCGGTATGGACACAAATCAACACAAACCTCAGGTACAAAAATAATTCCTCTTCGGGGTATTGGTGCGCTTGGCCCGCCTGCCTGCCAGTTCACAAAAAAAAAAAAAAAAAACGCGGTTTAACTTATAACGTAATATGTTTATACCTTTGAACTTGATTGTAATGTTTTTGTGGTTTTACTTGTTTTCCATTTTAACTTTAAATTTGGATTTAAATGAACATTTTGTTTACATTTTTTAATCACGTACATGTAAAAGTGATGAACATGCAGTCTTGTTTTTGTTATTACGTTTTCACTCAAATGTTAAATGTTTAATTTCCATTTTTAAATCATTAAAATTTTAAGAAACGTGATTCCAAGAAACACCCGTCAAAACTTGAAGTTAACAGGTAAAACTCAAGTTATGACGTAACAAAAAAAATAAAGTTGTCGTGAGCTTCTGTAGCCCTGGCCTTTAGCTAGCAGGCAGTCTCCTCAACACGGCTCTGAGTCTTTGAAGCGAGCGGAGCGAGTTAAAGTCACTTGACGTAGTGGGGCGAGGCCCTGCTCTCAGGCCTCGGCTGGAGGGCGCCCCAGCCTCAGGTCGTAGGAGACCATGTGGAAGTTATCCCAGGCGAAGAGCTTCTTCTGCGCCGGGTTGTAGTCAATCATGCTGTTGTAGCCGTACTTGTTTTTGAAGGGGACAGCCAGGGGGCGCCCGCGGCTGCTTTCCGTGTCGTACATGTAGTTGATGGTAGTGTTGGCCGCCCCGTAACTGGCCACGGTGTAAAGTCGGCCACACACCAGGAATGCATTGGCCACGCCGTTCTTGCGGATGTTGGTCTCCCAGCTCTTGGTCACCCGCAAGTCGTGCGGGTCCAGCTGGGAGAGCACCACGGCCCCCTTGGCCTTGCTGGTGGAGTAGATGGCCCACAGGCCGCGCTCATCCACCGCCAGGTCGATGTCGGTGTAGCCGCCCCACGCGTATGGGAACTGGCCGTGGAAGCCGGCATGCGGCAGATCACGCCGCGCAGCCACGCTCTCTGACGCCAAATCGAAACGGATCAGTGTGCGGCTGCGGCGCCGCTGGTAGTACAGGGAACCGCGGTACAGGACGGCGCCTGTCCCCTCCAGGGGTTCCGGCAGCAACACCACCTGCATGATTCCACACAAAAGTCAGTATCTTTATTGAAATCCATGGCCCCCCAAAAAACAATAGGACTCAAAATGAAACACAAGTTTAGTTTCAAATATTGATTGATTTGCGAAAATTAAGTGTCTAAACTTTAGACACTAAAGTTTAACAATTTCAAAAGAAAAATGGCACATACAATTTCATCTACATTGCTGGGAAAAAGAAGAATTAAATATCTGTTTGACTTCAAATTTTTGGGAAGAATATGTCTCAAATCATTAATGTTTTCTTGGAAAAAAAATGGGCCACGAAAAGTTTCATATTTTCCCCTCAAAGTTAATTTGAATTTCTGATCGTCAGACAGTTGCAGGGTATTTGGAAAACATTTCCAGGGGGGATAAATACACCTAGAAAAACATCACCAATTACAAACCCAAACAATTCCCGAGCAGAGGAAAAGAATAGCCACCTTGGTGGGATACCCCTTGGAGAGCTGCTCCATGTCTTCGTATCCAAACAGCTGCCTGACGTCTGAGCCAACCGTGTCGATGCGCCACACCATGCTGGACCCGTACGGCGCCGCGGCCTCGGAGTCCTGCATCCATATGCCGTATTTTCCTGCGATGCTGTCGGCCTTCCTGTGAGTGACGGGCTCCGACACGGACACCAACACGCCACAACCTGGACCACCGAGCACAGCGTCAAATTACAGGTCGGCTGCGTCAGGACTAACTTATTTAAGAACAACTGTATTTAATTTTCAGGTGCAATACATTTGAATTGAATCATTATTTAACCCTTTCAGGCTCAGTGGTTACTACAGTGGACAGCTTATGATGTTATCAGGTTACAGGGTGCATGAAAGGGTTTAGTACATACAAAAAAAAAGTCCTATATTTAAGAGCCATGTTGATTTCAAACTGCGTATCTCAAAGTGGCTTACATTAATATTAAATATACTTTTGAAGAATATAATTTTTTTATGAACACTTAGGCCTAATATATATTTTAATGTTGGTCATGATGGTGGTACGTGAGGAACAAACAATTTCTCGAGGTGTAAAAAGTTTGAGTGTACGGACAGAGCTATGTAACCCTGAGATCGTGAGGACATCTGAGGTACTGTTGGCATGAGAGCAGTGATCCAGAAATTGGCGGGAAAAAGAGCGGTGGTGCTTTCCGGCCAGGTGCAGGATTTGGCAACAGCAGCATTTTCAAGTCCAACTTGCACGTGTGGAGCGCATGTGCAATGATCCCCCTTATCCTCTCTGGCATGACGCAGCTATTCTGGAACCCAACACAATGCTATTTATGAATAGCGCTATTTGCTTTGGGGTTGTCACCATAGGGGCAACTTTTTATGGGTGTTATGTTTGTGGGTGTCATGTTTGTAGGCCAGACAAGAGGAAGGACCGACTTAACAGCGTCCCTGACGTCATTGTTTTTACTTGAAAGCTGCAACCAAAAAATAGCCATAACTGGAAAAAATGCAAAGAAAACTTGGATGCAGATTCTTTTGGCAAAATAATGTCAGCGCCTTTGACATTTTTACTGGCACCATGACTTTGTTTAGTTTTAGTTTTGGCCCACTGTGAATCATACTTCGAGACCATGAAGCCAAAAACTGAAACGGACCCCATTACTTGTCATATGCAGCTGATTGATGGGCAACAGCAAAAGTAAATGAGGGTCATTCTGGAGTTGAACTTGGTACCTCATGCACCCGAAGTGAGAACCATTTCCCTCGACCACGGGTGTCCATACTCGGTCCTCAAGGGCTGCTGTCCTGCCTGTTTTCCACAATCAAATCGTTCTAATGCTGCTTCAGAGCTGATCATCTGAATCAGGTGCGTTGCAGCCGCACACCCTTGCCCGAGACAAAAAAGGTATGGACCGAATTAATAATGACCCAAGTGACAGCGGGTGATGGAAGTGTTCAAATTGAAAGTGAACAGTGTCGTATGGTTACCCATGTGCTGGCTGCAATGTAACGCAGGATGAGACATAATTGAAAGCTTTGGCTACACTGATAGAAGGGCTCGTCCGTGAGTTGAACCCGGGACCTCTCGCACCCTAAGCGAGAATCATACCCCTAGACCAACGAGCCACATGCACAATCTGATGTACCCCATGACTTGTTGTCTGATGGCCCATGTGACGGCTGGCAGGTGTAAAACAGGGGTACATTATTGAAAGCCACCGATGCTCCAGGAAGGGCTCGTCCGGGAGTTGAACCCGGGACCTCTCGCACCCTAAGCGAGAATCATACCCCTAGACCAACGAGCCACATGCACAATCTGATGTACCCCATGACTTGTTGTCTGATGGCCCATGTGACGGCTGGCAGGTGTAAAACAGGGGTACATTATTGAAAGCCACCGATGCTCCAGGAAGGGCTCGTCCGGGAGTTGAACCCGGGACCTCTCGCACCCTAAGCGAGAATCATACCCCTAGACCAACGAGCCACATGCACAATCTGATGTACCCCAGACGGCTGGCAGGTGTAAAGCTGGGGTACATTATTGAAAGCCGCCGATGCTCCAGGAAGGGCTCGTCCGGGAGTTGAACCCGGGACCTCTCGCACCCTAAGCGAGAATCACACCCCTAGACCAACGAGCCACGAGCAATCTTATGTACCCATGACTTGTTGTCTGATGGCCCATGTGACGCCTGGCAGGTGGAAAAGGGGTCGGGACATGATTGAAAGCCACCGGTGTCAAATGAAGGGCTCGTCCGGGAGTTGAACCCAGGACCTCTCACACCCGAAGCGAGCATCATACCACTAGACCAATGAGCCACATGAGGGAAATGATGTAACCCATTACTTGGATGCTCCAGGAAGGGCTCGTCCGGGAGTTGAACCCGGGACCTCTCGCACCCTAAGCGAGAATCATACCCCTAGACCAACGAGCCACATGAGCAATCTGATGTGCCCCATGACTTGTTGTCTGATGGCCCATGTGACGGCTGGCAGGCGTAAAAGTCGGGGACATAATTGAAAGCCACTGATGCTCCAGGAAGGGCTCGTCCGGGAGTTGAACCCGGGACTTCTCACACCCGAAGCGAGCATCATACCACTAGACCAACGAGCCACATGAGGGAAATGATGTAACCCATTACTTGTCGTGTGGCAACCTTATGTTGCAGCTGCATGGCTTGGCGAGGTTGTGATCTTTAAATATGAAACTAAAATTATTTATATATCTTATTTTTTGGTCAGCAAGCTCTGTAAAAGCTTGATAACAATCCTAATCATTTGAATCAATTGTGTGAGAAGAACTTCTAAAACAAGCGGGACTGCGGCTCTCTCGGACAGGATTTCGCCGAGACCAATGAGCAACAGACTCAAGAAAAAAAAAACTCGACCCAAACATTTGAAATGACCCCATTACTTGTCATGGATGCTTTTAATCAGCATCTGTAAATCTAGTGACAGTTTCTAACCTGTGTATTGTTCGGGAGCCGGAACTTCAGTCACCTCAGCCTTGACCTCCTGGAAGCCCTGCTGCCACACAGAGTCTGTCACATGCATGCATGCGCGCACACACACACACACACACACACACACACACACACACACACACACACACACACACACACACACACACACACACACACACGTTGAAGAGCCAAAATTGATGAGCTCACAAATCCGATGCCGGATTATAGGAGGACCACCTGACCTCTCAAATTGCTGCCGTCACCCAGCCTATTGGGACGCGCCATCAGGTGGGACATGGGGTTCGAACCTGAACACACAAACATGAACTTTGAGTCAGGTGTTTCTATAATGTCATGGACAAGTCCAGCTGTGCTCGACTGAACCTTGACCGTGACACTTGTTGACCAGTTTCTACTTTCTACTTTGGTGCTGAAGGAACTGGTTATCCGTGAAGGTAACTGCGTGCACATTTGCTTCTGCATATTCAGCTGTTATAATACAAACTACATTGATGCAGTGGTTGGTAACTCAAAAAGCTTTTTTTTTTTTTTACATCCTGAAAGGAAGTTTTTGGGGGAGATAGCTGGATTCTTCCCAAAAGTGCCGATATAAAAATGAACTGTTGACATAACCACGAACTGGTAGTTGGTGAGGCCATGTGAGGGCAACAGCAGGGAATGTGACAGAAGGAAGTGGACACCCGCCCTCTCGACGCATTCCCAGCTGCTGTGGAGACAGCCAGTCGGAAGACGACATGACGCTCCGGATACTGCAGACACCCTGCCGGGCGCCGCCGTTCATCATGCATTCACTCCATGCAATTGCCCGTCCAATAATTTTTCCTCAAAATTCCAATTTTGACTGATTTTTTTTAAGGGCATCTTTGTTCATGCTATTGCAACGTGTATTGAGCAAGCCAGCTATACCGACACATTAGAGCGCCTCATTGTTGGCCATGAACGTGTGCATGTCTTGGAGAACTGTAAAATTAATGATTTGCTCAGCCCTGATGAACCCAATTGTTTGTGTTATTGCTTTCCCATGCAAGTTGAGAGAGAGAGAGAGAGAGAGAGAGAGAGAGAGAGAGAGAGAGAGAGAGAGAGTTCAAAGCACGTTGCATGCTTCGTGCAGTGGCGCACAAATGAGCTTTAATGACGCAGAAAACCTTTTTTTAATGGCTTTCAGGCAGAGGCTTGTGAAGACATGCTGGCAAGAAATGCCAGCGACATGGGAAAAGTCAAACAGGACAATGTTTGGAAAACACAACAGAAGAAAAATCAAAAGGTTACTGGACAAAGCCATTCATCAGCACTGCAGGTAAACACATTCTCATCCCCAGGGTGTGTGTGTGTGTGTGTGTGTGTGTGGTCCAGATGTGCCTCCATCTTTGTCTGTCACAAAGGGATTCCCATGGACCCCTTCTCTGGTTAGGAAATTTAATTCGAACCAAACTATTTTGATAAAGTCCAATATTAAAAAAGTTCCATTTGTCCGACTAAAAATAACCCAGTCCAAATTTCACGCCACAAATTGAATCTTGTATCTCAAGGCAACACTGTACTTTGCAGATGCATGCGAGGATTTATTACTGATGCAGAGAGTCTTTGGGGAGCGTGGTGTGGGAGTCGAGGGGGTTCAACAGACTAATTTGAGCGGGTAATTAAATGGCTGTTTGCCCCCTGCAAACGCAACACCAGAGATTAACCTCCTTGGCTCCTTGTATGGAGCTGCCCTCCTTCACTGGCGTCATTAAAAGCCTCGAGTGCGTGACCTCCGCTTCTAGGCTCTAATCGCATTTCACCCCCCCACCCCCCGACCCCCATTTCCACACCTTCAAGTACTTCGCACCCCGTTTGCCATGCGAAGGAAAGCGGCCGTCATAAAGGCTCATGAATACTGAGATGACCCACAGGGAGTAAGCCGAGCCGTGTGTCTGTTTACGCACCAACATTCATTTTAAAACATTAGTCTCTCCTCTTGGTGGATCATCTTACTCCAGCCCTAAAGGCTCGCCACTGGCTCCTAATTAGCCAGAATAGATTTTAAAATTTGGCTACTGGTCAAAAAAAATTAATCATTGAATGAATTGGGTGCTGATTACTGGTTACTGATTAAATGCTACTTGAATATAATCGAGTTTTTGTGTGTATGTATTTATCTATCTTTGTATTATCGATCTATACAGAGAGACAGGAAGATCCAACCTTTAATTCAAGTGCATTTATTCCATGGGAGAAAGAAATCCGACATTAAGAAATAATTCTTTTACATCAAATCATGCATGCCACAATTATTAGCACCCCAGATGTGAATATTTTGCACCGCCCCCCTTTTGCCCAGCAAAGCAGCACCCGATGTTCTCTTTCAGCAAAATCAATTAAAGAAAGAGGAATCTTCAACCATTCCGCTTGACACAATCATCCAGCGACCCGGCTCCACTCCTCTGCGCTCTCCTCTTTAGCTCAGTCCACAGGTTTTCAATAGGGTTGAGGTCTGGGGACTGAGATGGACATGGGAGGAGCTTGATTCTGTGTCTGGTGAACCGTTTCTACGATTTCAGTTTGCTTCTGCAATCAAAAATTGAATTTGTTTTGACATCTTAACCAGGGGTGCCAATAATTATGGGGGGGGCCACTGTGTCTATGTACGTGCAGTACACGTGCGCGCACACACACACACACACACACACACACACACACACACACACACACACGCCACTGTGTCTATGTACATGCAGTACACGTGCGCGCGCGCACACACACACACAAACACAAACACACTTTCTTTCCACTTTAAAATGAACCGTTGTTGAATTGCATCACAACTCGTGTACTAGGATACGTATCGAATCGTCTTTTATTGCCCATGCACACCAAATTCTGACCGATCACTGTGCTGCGTGTCACAAATGAGATTGAGATTGACCAATAACGCAAAAAGTGACATTCATCTCAATTTGTGTGCCGCTAGTAATGACTGACATGTCAACTGACCGATTCTATGGAGTGGCACACACGTGGAGTCATCGTGCATACTCAGTTGTTCTTCTTACCTCCAGCAGGTCTCATCAGACCACCGTCAGGCACGGCGGGGGTCTGCAGCGGGCACGGTCTGCTCCTCAGCCTCTCCGTCTCCCTCAGCATCTCCTCCAAGCGTCTCTGAAGCGAGCCCATCTCTCTCTGCAGCCGCTCCTTCTCACCCTGCAGCAGGTTCCTCTCGCCCACCGCACGGTTCAGCGCCTCGCGGAGCCGGCCCCCCGCGTCCGCCGAGGAGGCCCCCGCCTCCTCTCCGGTCAGCTTGGACACCAGCGCTTCCAGTAAGGTGAGCCTGGTTTTGATGCCCTCCACCTCGGGGCCTCCGGCATGGGGGCAGCTGGCCTCGGCGGGGCTGGCCACGGTAAAGGTGTACTGGCATCGCCCGCTTCGGTCGTTGCCCCTCCAGAGGGCGGCGCGGTCCTGGGCGTCACCTCGTGGGGCCAGGAGCCCCAAGAGGCACATGGAGAGCAGGAGGAACATGATGCAGGAATGACGAGGAAACCCCAAATGGAATTTTCAGGGATTAGTTTCTTCAGGTTTGTGTTGCTGTCGTCCCCCCTCGCGCGCAGGTCGCTTACACTGATCTCTCCCAGTGCCGCTCGCCGATATTTATACGGTGAGTGGAAGAGGTGAAAAGGAGGGAGCGAGAGAGTGAGGGAGGGGAGAAAGAAAGATGGATTTACGGGAGGAGGTGGAGGCTTGTGTGTGGCCATTCTTTCATCGTGGCTTTATCCCCCCACGGCAAACAAACAGCCTCCACTTTATTTGTAAAGGGCGCTGTGTGTTTTTATTTAATAACCCTTGGTGTAATTGTTGGGATATGGCCCGTGCATTCCAAGAAAGTCAGGGGGGGGGGGGGG